ATTACCATCTTTACAGTTGGGTTTCTGAATGGAAGTCCAACTTGTTGATTCCTGGCGCTAAAATCTGAGCAACCCACTGTGCCGGCTAAAACAGCGGCTTTAAGACTGATGGTGCTTTTCTGACTCTGCACCAAGAACCACCGCACGAAGGCAGCGACAAAACCGCCTCGCCGGCCACAAGAGTCGCGCTGGCAACCCGTGGGGCTCCTCCGCTGGGAATCTCCTGGTGTGTGAGCAGCAAAAATTGATCTGAAAGTGTGGCGTCCTCTCGTTCTCTGCGCTTTCAGTGGGAGCTACAATCCCGAGCTGCTAGTGATCAGTCATCTTGGATCTCTCTCCTACATTAGTTTTAAAATGCTATTACCATAGTTTTGCATTTTTATTTTCAACTCTACAGGGTTCTAAAGATTAATAACATATTGAAGAATATATTTGTTTTACAAAATGGCAGTATTTAGACAATTTCAATATTCTGAAATAGAAAACTTTTTGGGTGATTATATTTATTTGATACTTAATAATTATAAGCAAAAAGGTTTTGTAACAATAAGAAGCAACAATATGCCTGAAATCTATTGGTCTGTTGGAATGAGTAGGCAATAAGCATAAAGTATTTTGGGGAAATATTTTATATTAAATATTTACGAATGACCTAGATTATTTAATGGAGAATAACAGTGGTTAATGATCATAATGCCACAATTCAGCTAGAACAGAAGGATATATCAGTCCTGAAGAGCATTATGATAAGCTGAGAAATGGGTATTATGCCCCAAAAATAGAAACACAATATTTAGGTCATTTACATTGTCAAATCTGCTACATAATGGGTGTTCTCTTTTCATAAGAGCAAAAACCTACTACAGTTTTGCCTGTAGATGGATTCTTCTAAGAACTCTGACAGTTTGGGTAAGATTATATAAAGATGAAATATCTTTTCAAATTACATATCAGGAATAAACCACTTAGTTTACATGGCAGCGTGTTGTGCTGACAGGCCACTGATAAAACATGCCAGAGAGATGGAGATGCCTCCTGCAGACCCCTCTAGTCTCCTTTAATTTAAGCATTTCTTCCTTTAAAAACAATAGTGTTAGAATAAGAGAGCATAAGAAAATACATAGTATGGCATGTTACAAAGATTTTTCACAACATCTTTATTTGTTTTTGTTTTTCTAATTAACATTCTTTTTATTTATTTATTTATTTATTTATTTATTTATTTTTGGAGTCAGGGTCTCACTCTGTTGTCCAGGCTGGAGTGCAGTGGTGTGATCATAGCTCACTGCAGCCTCAAACTCCCTAGCCCAAGGTATCCTCCCACCTCAGTCTCCTGAGTAGCTGCGACTACAGGCACATGCCATCAAGCTTGACTAATTTTTTCTTTAATTTTGAAGAGACAGTATCTCCCTATATTGCCCAGGCTGGTCTCAAACAGCTGGGCTCAAGCAACCAACTGGCCTTGACCTCTCAAAATGCTGGGATTACAGGCATGAGTCACCGTCCCTGACCTCCCAACATCTTTATTGGCTAATCATCAATTGGGTCATGGAAAAAAATTATAATGTAATGAAGGCAGGCTGTGAAATCTTAATTATTTACTTATGGAAGGAAGCTTTCTCAAAATAGGCCATTTTTCATTTTGTGGGATGGTTAAAGCATGGTCCTACTTTAAATAGGACCCAAGTTTCTGTTAACTTCCTAATTCAATTTTACATCCTGCAATCCTAATTTCATGAGTGAACACTCCTAGTAGATGTCTCAGAAAACACCCACTTATTGCAATGAGTTATCCTGTAGGTGAGTTAACTCTCTCCCATGCTCTCTTTTCCTTTCCAGCATTTGTAAAAGAAGATTGCATCTATGCTGCAACTATTTTAAGTAGTTTTGTATAAGCAATATAATATTTTTTCTTAACTCTAATACTGATGTTTATAACTGCACTTTAATCTGCATCAACTCTTTCTAATGACAGGCCACTTTACTTTGGGTTTATTTGGGTAACACTTTCTAAATACATTTCACTGCCGCAGGCTAGTGGGCTAACAAAATGAAGAAGCAGACTCTGTGTGGTATTTTAAAGGGAGGGAGATGCCAAAAGCATTGCAGGAAGAAACATATCCTTAAAGATTATTAACATGGTGTCTACCAGAGTGAGGAGTAGGTGGCATAATATTCTGAGATATAAATTCTCTGAGGCAGAACATAGAATTTTACTACCTAAATGTAATAAGATGTATTGTGCTATCAGCAAAGGCCATGGAGCTCTATGTGATTAAAATAAAAAAGGATCCAAGTATCTGCCTTTAACTACCATTTAATGATAATGGTTTTTGTCTTCAGCATTTATATTGGAAATCAAGAAAGAGGCAAACTGCAGGCTATCTAATACTAATATGAATAATAATAACTAACAAGTGCCCGTTTCTTCCATCCTTAGTTCTTAGCAGTCTATGTTTATTTTCAGTGAAAGTCCTCTTCCTTCATCTTAGTTTATATGGTAATAGAAATGTTAGTTTAAAAATTGACTTCTATCCACATGCTGATGAAGGGAGTTTTAGCATTCGATTCACAGTAGGAAAGAAGACTCAGAACGGGGTACCATGCAACCCATCTCTTTCATGTGTTATGTCATTTATTTCTCATGGAAATCCTTTAAGGTCCATAGTGTTACCCATTTACTTGTACAATTGGAAAATGAAGCCCTTGTAGCTTCTAATAAATGTGTTCTCATGACCAGTAGTGACCTGGAGCTGGCTTATACCAGATGACAAAAGCAAATTATTAAATACTCACAATTTTTTTTGGTAGTGTGAAATCACCCATGATGGGAGCATTTATATCCTGGAAACCTGCAAACGAGGAAAAACAGTGCTCCAGTCCCCTGGTCTTTCCGCCCCACTTAGAGCATGCTTACCAGCCCACCACTGCCAGTTTACTGACATGGATTCAAACCCAAGTTGGTGCTATACAAAAAGCACATTTTCATTCCTTTCCTTCAAGCTGACAAAGCTTTTGAATTCCTAAAGAATTAAGAGCTGTTGCCCAGAAAAAATGGGGTTCATTCGCGTGTTGAGTAATAAAGATCTTTCCAGGGATATGGATGAAGCTGAAAACCATCATTCTCAGCAAACTAACACAGGAACAGGAAACCGAACACCACATGTTCTCACTCATATGTGGGAGGTGAACAATGAAAACACATGGACACAGGGAGGGTAACATTACACACCAGGGCCTGTCGGGGGGTGGGAGGTTAGGGGAAGGATAGCAATAAAAGAAATACCTAATGTAGGTGACAGGTTGATGGGTGCAGCAAACCACCATGGCACATGTATATTTAACGTAACAAACCTGCACGTTCTGCACATGTATCCCAGAGCTTAAAGTATAATAATAATAAAAAGTCAGAGGAAGATGTAGTGACTCAAATATTTAATATTTATCTTTTTAATTATGAAATTGCCTTTGGGATATTTGTTTATTATCAAATACGTTTTAAAATATTGCTTAATTCTAAAATATTAATGATTTTTCTGTTGTTAAAAAAAAAGAGAGCAGGTTTTGATCAATAGGAATTTGATTACTTGGCACAAGTAAGGAAGACACTGGGAGTTTTCACAAAAGCAGTATCTCCCAGAGGGAAAGTGACGGGCGTTTTATGGAATAAAACGGGAGAAGGTAAATCGGCGCATGTAGAGGAAGGGACCCAGTTACGCGGATGCAGTGAGTAATCATTCCAGCGCGCAGGTCACTTGTTATGGTAATGAAGCTATAGCTCCTCCCTAGGATGGAGACTTTAGCATGGTAATGAGGAAAATTCACGTGGGCTCCTCTCTGAGTTGCTGGGGTCTGTCAGAAGCTAGCTTCAACCAACAAGGTGACAGCATTCCACACCAGACTTGGGGAAAAAAACAGGCATTAGGGCAGGCGGCTGTAAAACAAGCTGGTGGCTTAAATCTAACGTTCCCTGATAAAAATTAAAAAATTAAAAAAAAAAAAAAACACAAGCCGGGCGCAGTGGCTCACGCCTGTAATCCTAACACTTTGGGAGGCCGAGGTGGGTGGATCATCTGAGGTCAGGAGTTCAAGACCAGCCTGGCCATCATGGTGAAACCTCATCTTAAAAAAAAAATAATAAAATAAATAAATAAATATTATGATCCCTGGAGACCCCCCTGCCTGCTTACAGAACTATCAAATTCAGAGCATCATAAGGATACAACAATGTAACAGCACTCAGAGCATAAGGATACAACAATGTAACAGCACTCAGAGGCACTTCACCTTAATCCACTGTTTTAATTTCTTCTTCTATGGCTTTCTGTATTTGCCTTCTTCATTTCACTGAAATTTCTTAAAAATTGAAGTACTCTATGTATTTTGCATTTTTCTACTATGACTCCTGGGATATTGACTAGACTAATAAAATTGAGCTGAAATGTAACAGATTAAATTGCTAGCACATAGGTCAAGCCAAGTAGTGCTGGCTTTGATTATTCCTAAATTTTGTTATTTACCTATAAAAGGGTATGAGTATAATCATATTTTATATACTTCTATTAAATTTACAGATTTAAAGCCATTTTTAAATGTCAATTTATAATTATTTCAGTCTCTAGCCTTACAAAATAGTATGTAAGTTTTAGTATAGATATTACATTCTACAGGTATAAAAGCAGTGTCCAAATACTTTTTAAAATGTCAAAATAATTAAGACCAAAACAATTAGACTCTAGAATGTGGCAAAATATAAAAATAATATATAAACAATCTCCCTGCTTCATAACAAAAAGAAAATAAAAGAAATTTAAAAAGAGAAGTTAAAAGACATTGATCCCAAGTATTATATATTTTGTTTTAAAAAAGCTTGATTTTTTATAAATTACTAACATATTGAAAGATCCACATAGAAATGTTTATTTGCTAAAGCTGATATTTGAAATAATCACACGCGTGCACACAAAAGTTAAGAAATGTTTGTCCTTTTTTAATTTCAGAGCAGCCTATGGTCATGAAGTAGGGAAGCGTCCTTGGATTACAGGAGATGAGACTATTGTAGGCCTTATGAAGGACATTGTAGGTAAGTACAAAACACTGAAGTTTTTCCAAGTGAATTGTAAAGAGATATTATAATTTAGTTATGAACACAGGTTATAAAGTCAAAATCTTATTGAAGGGCATCACGATTTTCTATTTTAATCTATAACAATAAAGAGGAAGAATATTTTTAACTTAAACTTGTTAATTCAAAGATTGCTATTGTGAGCATGATAAGGTTATTTATATAAAAATAAAATATATGTTATTATTTTTTCTTGTATACTTTAAAAGTAATATTTATCACACTCATGAAAAGCACATGCATTGTATTAATTTATAATTGAATAAATTTCATAAAAATCAACTGAAATGAAATTTTTATAATTTCACTATTTGATAAAATGAACATTTTGACATGCTAAAGGTGTAAAACACCAATCATGTTTTTGTTCATTTCAATTCAGTCTTTGGTGTTCTTTTTAAATTTTAGCTTCATGCTACTGAAAATGATATAGCTGATGCTGTTTTTAGTCTAAATCGTGCTATCCTAAAGACAGTTATATATACTATCGGTAGTATTTAAGATAGTTTTAGATGGTAAATGTGTTAAAATTTTGGAAATAGTTATTTAATTGGCTTAAATATTCAGCATTGTTTAAAATTTAAGGTACTGAACAAAAACATTATTGATATTTTGAATTGGAGTGGTGCCATTTGGAACGTCTACAGGACTTAGGGAAAACTCAAGTTTTCAAATCCTTTGTGAAAGCTTATTGTCTTACAGCAAACATAAAAATATCTTTATGGCTTCATTCCACTTGAATCTTGACCAGTAATTGAGAGAAAATCAATATGGCTAGAAGGGAAATGGAGTGAGGAAAGCTGGACTTAACGCATAGAAAAAACTATGGCAACTGGCAAATCATTAAAATCTAGAGAGTATCTTTATTTAAAAAGTAATTACTGATTCTTTGCTATATGTCATGACTTGTGGGAGCTCTGAGGACATAAAAGTGAATGAGAGCTGGGCATGGTGACATACACCTATAATCCCAGCAGCTTGACAGTCTGAGGCAGGTGGATTGTTTGAGCTCAGGATTTCGAGACCAACCTGGTCAACATAGCGAGATACTATCTTTGCAAAAAAAAAAAAAAAAGGCCAAAAATAACCCAGCATGGTGGTACACAGCTGTAGTCCCAGCTAGTTGAGAGGCTGAGGTGGGAGGTTAGCTTGAGCCTGGGAGGTCAAGGCTGCAGTGAGCCAAAATCATGCCACTGTTCTTAAGCCTGGATGACAGTGTGACACCCTGTCTCAAAAAAAAAAGAATAAGAACACTCACCATCCCTATCTTTATGGACTGCCAGTAAAGGAAGATGCAAATAAATCCAAAAGTAATCCATGTAACTAAGTAAAATACAAAGAAATATAAAATTAATCACACTACCAAAGAAACATAATTTTCCAATTGATGTAGGCCTGAACACATGCATGTAACTACTCTTTTTTCTGAAATCTCACTAAAGAATTCTGAATGGAATAGAAAAAACAATTACAAAGTCTAAACCCTGAAAGACAAAACAGAATGACAAAGGAGATGATATTAATGATATCTGGAGAGTTGGATGGCAGATAGACAAGTGGTAATTGACTTTGTCAGAAAAAAAAAAAAAGAAAAGTAAAGCAAATCCCAGGCCGGACGCATGGCTCCCACCTGTAAACCCAGCACTTTGGGAGGCTGAGGCGGGCCGATCATGAGGTAAGAAGTTCAAGATCAGACTGGCCAACAAGTTAAAACCCCGTCTCTACTAAAATGTACAAAAAATTAGCTGGGTATGGTGGCTCATGCCTGTAATCCCAGCTTTTTGGGAGGCTGAGGTAGGACAATTGCTTGAGCCGGGACCTGAGAGGCAGAGATCGTGACACTGTACTCCAGCCTGGGCTACAGAGCGAGACTCCATCAAAAAAAAAAAAAAAAAAAAAATCCTAATCTCCCAGTGGCAAAAAATAAAAAGTCATCTGCTTTACCCTGCTAATCACCTGACCATGGAGAGACCCAAATTCTGTAAAATATTTAAAGAATAAATTATTCTGTAAAATATTCTGAGCCAAATATGAGTGGTCATAACCCAAGGCACAGTCTCAAGAGGTCTTAAGAACATGTGTCCAAGGTGGCTGGGTTGACAAAATACATCAATCTACACATGTGAGATATTCATTGATTGGGGGTTGGGGGTTGGACACCAGCATGGGTGGATAGTGGGAGTTTATAGGTCATAGGATTATAGGTGGAATCAAAGACTTTCTGATTGGCAATTGGTTGAAAGAGTTAAGTTATTATCTAAAAACCTGGAATCAATAGAAAAGAGTGTCCGGGTTAAGATAAAGGGTGATGTAAACCAAGGTTCTTTTTATGTAGATAAAGTGTCTTAGGTGGCTACCCTTAGATACAATAGATGGCAAATGTTTCCTATTCACACCTGTAAAGGGTTTAGTCTCTGAGTTCATCTCTTCTGGTTTGGAAGGACTGAAAAGGGAAAGATTTAGTTATATTTATAGAGATTCTTTACAGACACAAAATTTCCCCCACAATAGAGAGCTTCGTAGGACCACTCAAAATATTGCAAAGTGACATATTTTGGGGTAAAATATTTTGTCTTTGTCATTTTATGTTATTCCAGAGTAAGGTTGAAAAGTAAGCTATATTATATAGGATTAAATACAACCCATCTGGTGAGATTTTTATGGTTTTTAGGGTGTTACTTCCCAGGCCTCTTAGGAATTTGGGCAAGAGAGAAAACAGGTCAGAGTTTAGTCAAGAATCACTTGAACCCAGAAGGTGGAGCTTGCAGTGAGCCGAGATCATGCCACTGAACTCCAGCCTGGGCAACAGAGTGAGACTCCATCTCAAATAATAATAATAATAATAATAATAATAATAACATATTGAGTACAAACTGAAAATCCTCCCTTCTATGATAAATACAGAGAAGTGATTGAAAAAAAAATTAACAAACATATAGCAACAGTTAAAATTAGTAAATAGAAATCTGCATAGACCAGAAATTTATAGCCATTATTGAAGAAAGGAACAGTCAGAAATCTGAAAGTAGTATTTTTGGAGCAGCACACGTGGAGTAGGCTCCATGTAGAACTCCAGGGCTAATTTGCTTGGATCTGGAACCCAGGGCCAGAATCTTTGACAGCCAGGTCCAGTAAAGGTCAAAACCAAGAATCTCCTCCCACACCAATAGATTCTCAAAACACGGTGCACTTGATCAGGCTATCAGAATTACCTAGAGCAGTGCATATTCTGATGGAGAGAATTCTCATCCGAACAATCCCGAATTGCATTTGAAAATGTTCAAAATTGTTGTGTGATAGATAAATCCTTCATTTGTGTTCATTTGTTAGAAGCCAATTCAGACATTCAAATGTCTTAACATATAAACAAACAAACAGACAAAAAAAAACTGAAAAAAGAATCGCATTTAATTTGACCAGAGGACACGTGTTTCTCTTAGCTGTGGATTTTTTTTTTCACTTTTATTTTGTTTCCTTTCAGAACATAAACTTCATTCTAATCCTGTTATTTTGTTCTTAATATTTATCATCCTCTAAAGAGATGTTAGAATGTTTATGTACAAGCTAGGGAAATGGTAAAGTAATATTATTCAGTGAGATTTATTTATGAAGCCAGTAAAACCTGCAAAAAGGTTTCCTTTGACCATTTAAAACTTTACAGCTCTATTGCAACTTAGTAAATGTGCAAGAGCTTTGTTGCCCAGTAAATACATTTATGTCACATAAAGATCACTGAAATTTCAAACCAGCCACCTCTCATTATTGTTACTAAGGAAAATAAAAGATAAGAGAAAGACTAAATGTTCAGTCTTGTTTAGAAAAGTAAAAGGAATAAACTTATTTTAAATTTCTAAAAGAAAATTTGTCAACCATAGTTGCGGGGGTTTTCTACCTGTCTTTGAAGAACCACATAGTAATGTAATTTATATTCTGGCCCACAAGACTGCCCCCACTTCAGATGCCAGTCAGAAGTCCTAGGAACCACCCTTACTTCTGATGGACCACCTGTAAATTCAAGGATTTCCACAGTGCCCTCCACAGGTTTCATAATTTGCTAGAGCAGCTTGCAGAACTTTACTTTCACTTTACTTTATGTTTACCAGTTTACTATAAAGATACAATTCAGAAGCAGCCAATGGAAGAGATGCATAGGACACGGAAATGGGGAGCTTCCTTGCCTTTTCTGAACCTGCCACTCTCTTGGCACTTAGATATGTTCATCAGCCCAGAAACTCTCTGAGTCTTACTGTTCAAGAGTTTCTATAAAGCTCAATCCCAGCCCTCCTCTCCCTCTGGGAGATCAGTGGGTAGAGCTAAAATTTCACCTCTTGTCCCTCTAATCACTTGGTCGTTTTGATGAGCAGCCCCTCATCCTGAGACGACTCTCAGGGCCACCTAAGTCACTTAATTAGCATCAACTCTCTTGTGATTTAAGGGGACTTGTTGTGAATAACAAAATACACTTTTATCACTTGGAATATCCAAGGATTTTAGAAGCCCTGTGCCCGGAGCTGGGAACAAAAACCAAATATTTCTTGTTATACCACACCTATGGGACAAAGTTCATTTAGTTTTCTGCATTTTTGTATTTGAATGCTGCATTAGTTAAATCAGATGTGTTTGGTCTCAAATGTAATGTGTGATATAGTGAGTAAAATTTATTTCTTAAAATGGCAAAGTGAGTTTTGTAGACCTGAAACTTCATAAACAAAATATTTATAACTCCCAGTCTCAAACTGTTGTACTGGACCGAGCGTAGAAAGTTAGCACCAAGACAAAAGTATGCCAGATTGCAGGGTCATTTATTATGCTGGCCACCACAGAGGACTCATGTATCTCCAGCCTGTGGTTTCGAAAGGAGGGTGCCAAGACTTTTTATACCCGAAAAACTACCTTGGGAGTGGGGGTGAGGAGCGGGGATGGGGATGAAAAGGTTTCGAACATTCCAAGGGCCAGGGGATTCTGTAATTCACCTCCTGGGCGGAGACGAGGTCGGGGGGTCTCCGGACATTCCAAGGGCCAGGGGACATTTGTCAGTTTGTTACTTCAGTGGTTTACAGAAGTCAAGATAAGCATTTGTTTAAACATTATCTGGGTAGTGATAGAAGTCACAGATCTTAGTTACTTATTACAAGTCACAGGAGCCAGGATGGAATTAGCCTGGGCTGCTTATTTTAGTTATTACCAGTAAGCAAAGGCTAGAAATTCTGGCACAATATCACAAAACCTTACATGACAGATGCATTGTCACATTTTATTTGAAGTCTTTTCAGTGGTCTGGGTTGTAAATCAGAGTTATGAAGGGTGTGACAGCTCCTATGGTTGGAGAGTTTAGAGCCACAGGAATTTAAGAAATTTGCCATGCTGGCTTGTCACGGAACCCATGGCCTGACCTGTAGGTAACTTAGCTTCCTTAACCTTTGGGTATATCTTTATCAATAAAAGAGCATCTGTTTTGGTCTCTCAGATCATACTATCATCTCCAAATTTTTTTAACTACCAAAATTTTATACATATTAGTCAGAGAAATGGTCCTTACTTAAGTCAAATTGAAAAATGAATAAACCAGGTACAGTGGCTCACGCCTGTAATCCCAGCACTTTGGGAAGGTAAGGCAGGAGGATTGCTTGAGTCCATGAGTTTAAGACCAGCCTGGGCAACACAGTGAAACCCCACTTCTGCAAGAAACACATACACACAAAAAGTAGCCGGGCATGGTGGTGCATGCCTGCGGTCCCAGCTATTCGAAAGGCTGAGGTGGGAGGATTGCTGGCACCTGGGAGTTTGAGGCTACAATGAGCCATGATCATGCTGCTGCACTCCAGTATAGGTGACAGAAAAAATATGTATATAACTTCACTCAAACAGACTCTTTTAGAATGTGTTTGTGTGTGTGTGTGTTAATTTTATTTGCAATAAAATTAACCCATGCAGCTTCCCATTTTGCTTTGGTTACTAAGAAGTTCTGAGAAAAATTTGATCAATTTTGAAGTAACAAAAACATTTCATAAAATCTAATGTGTTTCTCATCTGAATGTGCTATGTTGATACTTTCTATCATTCTTCCTCAAATAGTTTTGTATTACAATTTATCTCACACCCTCTTTGGAAGTATGGTTTAAGTGATGAAATAATTAAAATAATTGTGTTGTAACTGCAGTAAAGACGAGCAGAGGCCAAATTTATTTTTCCTGCTTGCTAATTCAGTAGCAAATCCATATGGGTGTGCCGCAACCTCAATTCTTGCCTCTTCAGAAGAAATCATTCAACTGAGGGGGCATAAGGCAGGAGAGATCACAATCAAGTTTTAGAGCAGGAGGGAAAGTTTATTAAGAGTTAGAGCAGGAATGAAAAGAAGTAAAATACACTTGAAAGAAGAGGCAGACAACTTGGGAGATCAAGTGTGTGGTTTGACCTTTGACTTTGGGTTTTATTTGTTGGCATGCTTCTGGGGGCTTATGTCCCTCCCCTCTGATTCTTCCCTTGGGGTGGGCTGTCCTCATGTGCATTGGCCTGCCAGCACTTGGGAGGGTCTGCATGTGCAGTGTGTTTACTGGAGACATGTATATGCTCACTTGAGGCATTCTTCCCTTGCCAGCTGAATGTCCCTAGGAGGTCATGTAAGAGGCATTAAAATTGTGCCATTTTGTCTCTTAATGTACATGCTGAAGCCTACTCACCCAAATCCTGAGATACTGGGAAGTTGCTGATCACCAGTTTCAGGTTTTTTTCTATCTTTTGGGAGACTGTCTTTCCCCAGCACTGGATGCAGCCAATTATTATTTTAGATGGACAGTTAACAACTGCCTGACCATTACCTGATGGTCACCTGACATTCTTGGTGATGGGAGGGAGCACTCTCCTGCCCTGCTCATGTCTGCCTGACTACCTTCTGTAACACTAGGCTATCTAAATGTGCCATGAGCAAACAGACAGGTTGTATATTTTGGATCATGATTGAATCTTCCATGTTTTTAAAACCACAGCCTTTAGTTTACCATAATTTTCTTTTAAAAAAAAGGGAACAAGAAGAAAATAAAAATTATTATGTAATTGTGTACAAATTGATAGAGTGGATAAAAAAGAGAAAGAAATAATAAGCAACCCTATTTATTCATAGACATAGAAAAACTTCAATTTCAGATGAGAAGAAAAACTATGAATGAAACATTTTATAAAGAGCCAACAATTCTGCAAAACATGGAATGACTTTCCCTTATAATTAATGTCATATTATCAACATGGTAGAAATAAAATTGCTGAAGAATATTATTAATGTTATTATTAAGCTTACTTTTCCTGGGATTCATAAAAATCACAAAGGATTAGCTTACATGCATTTGAGATTATAAAAATGGTGTAATGTGACCATAAATTTGTTTTACGAAATTTGTGACTGGCCCTCAAAGAAGCAATAATCCCTGGAAGCTGTCCCCCCCCACAGTTACAGACCCTCAGTCATGCACCAGCCACTTCTAAAGGCCGCTGAAATTTGTTACTTGAAAAATCGAGTGTAAAGTTCTTGGAGTTAGCCTAATTACAAACCTTACAGCCAATCCATAATAATAGCTTCATCTGCTAAATAAAATATACAGAACATAGTACGGCAGTTATGAGACCCATAATGAACCCTCTTATCCAAAGGTAAACAGCTTAGGGCCTTGTCATTTCCACTTTGCAAGAGATTTGAAATTATGTTAGGATTAAAAAGGCACAGAGTTGGTTATGAGCCTGGGTCTCAAGTCAAATACACAGACTATTTTCTGTAAACCATGCTTGAATCCTAAAAGAACACTCTTATTTTATTTTTTCTTCTACAAGAATTTCAGTCCGTTAGTTCATCTCTTTTCACATCAGTTTCCTCGTTAAGAAACGAAGAAAATCAGAGTAGGTACCACATTGAGTTGCTATGCAGACTGAAATAATACAAGTCACATATTTAGAAGTGCTGAAATACTTAAGGGATCCATAAACATTAGCTTGCCAGGCTTTGAGACCAGAAGGCAGTTGCTTGCATTTAACTAAGCTTTATCTTCTGGTAAAGCAAAAATATGATGTTCAATAAATAAACAAACAAGAAATAAACAAGCAGAGAAGTGCTCTTCAGATTACAGCACTGGCTCATACTCATCTCAGAAGTGATTCAAATCTTGACATTTATTGTAGTGAGTCATAGATGATCTTATAAAGTAAAGATCCTTTCCAAACCTACTAAGCTTTCTGGAAGCATTTAAAAAATTTTTGCCTCTACATAATTGGAGCTCTCGATGTTTCCACATTAACTCACAATAATTAGGAAAAAGTAAAGGAATAAAGAAAAACAACTTGAATAAACTTTGGCTAACTTCTTTAAAAAAGATTGTTAATGGAATGTTGATGATATTGAAACATCTTAGAACAATATTGGTTTCAGAAATCTAATTTGAACCGAAAAAAATAGTCCAATTAGGTAAATAATCTTTTGAAAATACAGGCATAACTTGAAGATATTGTGGCTTGGTTCCAGACTGCTGCAGTAAAGCAAATATTGCAGTCAAGTGAGTCACACAAATTTTTGGTTAACCAGTGCACATAAAAGTTATGTTTACACTATAGTGTAATCTATTAAGTATGCAATAGCATTACATTTAAAAAGCAATGTGGATACCTTAATTTAAAAACAATTTTATTGCTAAAAAATGCTGAGAATCATCTGAGCCCAAAGTGAGCTCTAATCTTTTGCTGATAGTGGGTATCTTGCCTCTGTGTTGATGGCTGCTGACCAGTTGCGATGGTGTT